GTGCCGGCAATGCCTGCATTGGCCAAGGATCCCTGCCCACTCGCCCTGCTTGCCTATATGCCAGTGCTGCGTGTGGGCGGCCTCCCTTCAGCCTGCGACTGGGCCCCAGTGCCTGAACCCAGGCCCGATGCAGTTGGGGCCCGGGTGATGCAGTTGCGCCTCTTTCGTCAAGGCCTGCGACCAGATTCAGATAGTGGGCCGATTTCCCTTTGGCATTTTCGGCCTCTATACCCAGCATGCATTGTCGCCCTCACGTTCAAGTGCCCAGGGCCTAACTAACTCAGAGGCCCTGGGATCTCCACATTTGCAGAGATTCGCTGGCAGGCTGCAACTGTATGGACCCCCACTTCGGGAAATGTTTGCACAGAGGGCTCTTGTTGATTTGCTGGCCCGCCTTCACTTAGGGCGGGCACTAGGCTTGCTTGGGCCTTAGCCCAGAACATGTACATCATGGCAAGGCCCCTTCTTGAGGGCTCAATCCTCACACATCTCTCGTCGTCGTCCTCCCCCTCATCTTCTACTTCCCTCCGCAGTACCCCGCCGCCATACCCCGCAGGCAACATACATGCAGAGTCCCCATCACCCAGAAAACTCCCCCACCCCACCCCCCACCTCCCCTCACACCCGGGCAACTCGTCCCTCCCCCAAACCAGAATTTTATTGCAGATTCGGGGTCCTCTCGCCGAGCACAGGAGGACCCCACCTTCAAAAAAAAAATAAAAAAATTCTGGGCTGTTTTTTTGCCCGCCCGGTTCGCCCGGGCGGCCCACCCGGGCCCGCCCGGCCGGGCGGTGTCCGTACTCAGCTGCGCACTACATTTAGTAATTTACATTTGCAATTTTGCACTGCATGCAGACAGTCGGGCTCCCAGGGAAAAACTTTTTGAGTGGCACATTCGCATGATTTTTTTGCACCCTGATTGTTTTTCTCAAGATAACCGCTGTCCAGTGGAACACCTGGAAGAAGAAAAAAAGTGTGCAGCGCACCCCATGTGAACTACACACAAAGACACTTAAAAACTTTATTTGTCGCACATGCGGCTGATTTTTTTTAATTTTTTTTGGGCGCAAGGGGGGGGGGCAATGGCGGAGTCCATGAGCGCACATGTGCCTGATTGTTTTGCCCTTTTGTCGCGCACATGCGCATGATTGTTTTGTGCCCTTTTGTCAGATCATGGTGTGATCCCAGTTGACCCAGGCCTACCAGGCAACGCACTGCGTACTGGAACATCCCAAAAACAAATTAGGGGGCTGGCACTACACGTGCACTGTCGAACGACAATTTGGGATCCCAGACAAATCTTTTCGTGTGACAAAAGTGTGTGCCAGTGAAGGAATCTTCGGAACGACCAAAACATGTTCCATAGCATGCCACACTTGATTGTGACGAGAAGGGCCTACGCATACCTCCAGGTATTTTCTTCTGCAGTGCACTCTGTGTGGATGTCTTGAAAAATGTTTCCGGGTCTGACAGAACACTTGCATCAGGTCTACTAGGCCCGCCACAGAGAATTTTGCACTCCAGAAACATGTGTGGGGAGGGCTGCGCCATACATGCAAGCAAGGCTGCAACAAGCCGACTTTCCGTTCTGGAATGACAAACATACCTGCATGATTGCCCGCCATGGACCGCCGATGCCTACCGGTCGGCGGAGGGAGCAATCCGCAACAAACCCAGTGATCGACAGTTTGCTGACCAGCGTTTTGCAGGCAATCAGCAACGATTTCAATACTAAAGTCCAGGCCCCCGCTGTGGAGGCGCTTGCTACTGCAAAATGCTAGTTTCCCATAATAGTTCACAGTGGAGAAGGGTGGGAAGTGGTCTGTGAGGTGCTGGTGCTGGTGCTGGTTATGAGTGCGGGCAACAGCAACGACAACGAGAACAACAACGAGAACGAAAACGACAACGACAGCAACAACGACCATGACAACAATGAACACAATGATAACGACAATGGCAACAACAACCACAACCACGACAATGACCTGACAACAGCAACCATGACTACAACAACTACCCTCAACTCCCGAATACAACATACGGTCATTATAGCTGTATTTGGGGTATCTTTCAGTCTAGATACAGCTATAATGACCGTATGTTGTATTCGGGGGACGAAAGTAGGATGACAACAACCACCACAACCACAACTACAAAGACCAAGACAACAATAACGACGACAACGGCAACAACAACAACAACAGCTGAAAACAAGGAACAACAACAACAAGAAAACAGATGACATCATGACAGAAAAAAAAAAAAAAAAAAAAGATGACAGCTTTCTCTTCTTCTTGATGATGATGATGATGATGATGATGATGATGATGATGATGATGAGAGCGACCATGGCAAAGAGGGGGAGAACAAGGACAGCAACAGGTCCCTGTTCCTTGTCTCCATCGCGGGGCGAAGAAAAGGTCGTTTTGTATTACAGGTAAGGAGTTCAACTACTGAACAACTCTATAATATTAGGGGTGGCTCCCCTTCAAGGAGAAAGAGAAAGAGAAAAGTTTGCCTGCTCACCGGACCCGGTTCGTCTTGCCCATGACCCTCGTATCCAGTTGACGTCGATGGACGGGGACCCCAGGATCCTGAAGAAGAGGCGCAGCTTCTACTCGTATCTATTCCCCAGTTCAACTTGTCCTGCAGCGATGCGTGTTTACGACCAACTTGGAACCTCTCGGAGCCTGGAGCATAAAGTGCTTTCACGGTGGCTTCCGTGCCCATCCAGTCAGGTAACTCTTCAATCTGAGAGGGCATAAGGATACATTTGCGGCTGGGACGCCAATCCCTGTCCCTTGGATCAGTGACATCTTGGGTTACCTGTACCAGAGATCATGAAAAATATTCAGTTAAAGAATAAAAACAAGAAAGAACCAAAGAGCATGATTGCATTATATGAGCAAAAAAGGAGGCCGGGAATCCCTCCACATCTCAACCCGGAATGCTGGGGCCAATACCCAGCTTAGGCCCATCCTGGAAAACGGGTCCACTGTCCCATGCCTCAAAAATCTTGACATCCTATTCCAGAACAAACTGTCTAAACTGGACTAACAAAAACAACACCATTAGATCCTGGGGCCTGGGCTTAATAAAACCTACAAACCAAAGGAGGAGAAGGAGGAGAAAGGCTTCAGCAAACGCCGAGCAGGAATCTATTCCGTCTATATGCTGACTACTGGCAGTTCCTTGTAGTCTCTATCCCTCTACTTGTTTCTGACTTACAATTCTACACCCTCTCCCTGTCTAAACCCTATTCCTGAAAACCCTATTTTCCTCTACTCTTGCTTATAAATGAATTGCTTCCTCATTCCTTCTTCCTCATTTCCTACTTGAATAAACTTCTTCTTCTATTTCTCTTTTTCCTGTTTTTTTCCCTTCTGTCTGCTCCTATTACCCTGTTCCCTCTTCTAAGGCTCTTAAAGACTTAAACCCTACTATCCCTTTATCATTCCCCATCTCAGCCCGACATACTCTTTGCCGTTGCAGCTTGTTCCCTCTGTCTGATCTCCATTTGAACAACAACTTGTAACCCTGAATCGCAGCCACCTTGTTCTGGCCTGAAACCTTCTGAACAAAGCGGTGCTTCAATTCTTGTGCCTGATCTGGGCGTTGTAAGCTCTGCTTCTGTGTCCTTTTTCCATTGCACTTGGAGGGGTCCGTTTCTAGCAGTTCGAGGAAAATCTCCGTTCGGTCTCTTTTCGATGGTGATCTGGCAACGCCTCTCTTTGGGAGGCCATGACCTACCATCTTCACCCGAAAATAACGCCTGGGCGTTGTATATGAATATAATGCCCACCGGGCGTTATATTCGTTTATAATTATAAGCCTTCTCCCATCGGCTAACTGCCTCTGGACAAACCAGAAGGCAGTGTAGCATTGTTTCTGGCACCTCACCCTGACATACTGTGCATAGTGCATTGGTGGGGTCCCTCTGTGCTCTACTTCTACGGTCGTTCAGCCAGTCATTTACTGGCAGCGCCACGTGGGCTACCAGCCACTGCATGCTCCTAACCCGTCCATGCGTATATCGTTGATCTGACTCCATGGTATCCTGGGTAGTTGCAATGGTGGTACTGCCACTATTCTCCCAGCGCTTGGACAGCATTGCCGCCAGGGGGTACGAGCGCCTTCTCATGGGGTACAGTACCCCATTCGAGTGGTGTAATTTAGGATATTTAATATTTGTCCTTCTGGCTACCCGCATTCTTCCTCCTCTGAGGTTCCAACCCCATTCCCCAGGTCCACTTCTAAGTCCTCCACCGGAGTAGCTCTAGAGAAGATTGTGAACTCCTCAGTTTACACCACTCTTACTTTGCGCATCTGCTGCCGTCGGATGGTGATTGGTGTCTTGGATGCCTTATCCAAGAGACTGGTGGTGCTTTCCGGATTCGCGATGGTATACATGTCCGCATTCGGCCAGTCCGTTCTTGCGGGCTCCTGGTTCCAAATTCTGAATGCCTCCCGCGGTTGATCCTCCCGCTGCCATGTGGCCCAGCCACCTAAGCCCCACTGAGGCCCTCCACCCAAGTTCCCCACTTGGTATTTTTTTGCTGTAAGAGTTAGCGGCCTGCCTTGTATATCCCTGATTCTGGGGTTTCAGAAAAGAGGCTGGCGGAGTACTTCCTCCCTCGTGCACGGCTCTTTAACTCTGGCTGGGAAGATGTCTTTCCACAGCTTGAGCAGTTGGCCCCAATAAGACATCTCCCTTGAACCCTCTGCGCTGCCCATTGACGCTCTTTCTCCTCTGGCGACCTTACCCCAGTTGCTGCACATTACCCAAAAAAGCCCTGTCATGTTGGAGGCTATGTTGTATTTAGCTAGCTGTTGGATTCGCTCTAGGGCTAGTGGTATCCAGGGGAGCTTTTGATGGGTGATCAACTTGACCACCCACTTCGTCTGCAGCGCCTTTAGTTGATGTGCTGGGTCTATGATAGCTAAGGCCCCCTGTTCTTTCCTGCGTGTGACGTGTTTCCATGCCACCTTGGAAATGAAGTGGGGTTTATTTGGATTGGATGTCCTGAGGTAGGCTGCCACTCGTCTTCCCAGAGTTGCGGTCGCCTGTGCTGGAGGGGTCCAGACTGTCCATTCATACCATAGCATCGAGAAGATAGACGTATTCAAGACTAGCACCCTTCCAAATACCGACATGTAGATCGCCGACCACGCTCCCAGCTTTGTTAAGATCTTGGAGATCATTTCTGCAGCAATAGACCAATGTGGGGCCCCCTCTGTAATCCTGACCCCTAAGTATCTCAGAGAGAGAGAGGGAAAAAAAAAAAAAGAGGAACGAACCAAAGAAGCATGATTCCTCTTTGACTCTTAACTTTGGATCAGGAGAATCCTATCTTTGGGCCTCTCTCTCTCTCTCTCTCTCTCTCTCTCTCTCTCTCTCTCTCTCTCTCTCTCTCTTGCGCGCGCGCGCGCACGCGCACGTGCACACAGACACACACACACACACACAAACACAGACTAATTTCTTGGACTTAACTGCTGTTCTTATCAGGGGTTTCGGCCACTGGCATGATTTTTGGTGGAGTTCCCATATGGCTTTCTAAAATTGGATACAATCAGGGAAGCACAGAAGAAGATGGGGGCCAAGGATGAGGACAAGGTCTTAGCAATCTCTATGAGCAGGGCAGGCACACCTCCGCTGGTGGCTTTCTCCACACTCCACAGGAATGGCCTCCCAACAAGTTCTTGAGCCGCTGCAAAGAAAGTATCATCGATTATGGGACTCTGCAGACTGTGGAGGGTTCAGCCTCTTGATGAGTCGGTGAAAGTCTGACAAAACAGTTTGTCGCAGCCCCTCGTCTGTCATGTTCTCCCTCTCTGCCTATGGTTCACTGGGCAGTGCTCTATGACAATACATACCATGACTTTCCTAGCTCCCTGCTATGGTTTCTTCCGGTCAGGTTGAACGGCACTGGTCAGGGCTGTTACTATGCAGCCATGCTGTGCCTCTAGTGCCAGCAGCGTGTCTGGAGTACATTTGGTGGCTGTGACAGACCTTTCTTATTTTTGTGGCGTATGATGGGGTGTGAACCTGCAGTCTGTAGAGTTTTCTGTCTGGTGTGTCTGAGTGATAATTTGCTTTGACCTTTGTCATTCTTTCTCTTCATAGAGAGAATAGCATGTCTGGCTGCTGGATTTAGATCCGTCTGGCGTAAAGTTTAGTGCTCCCTGAGCAGATTTAGAATTCAGTCCTTGGAGGGTATCAGACAGTCGTCAGCATGATGTTCAAGCAGCTCAGCAATATGCCTTCACTTATCGCCTCATTGATGATGTTCTTTCATGGGGGCAATAACCTCCTCCACCAGAGCACTGTGGACTTGAGTGGAAGGAAACTACAGCGACAGATGGCTCGTGTACCCTTTTGGGTATGCATCTCCAGGCCTGTTCTGATGGCTCGCTTAGCATGAGCGCCTTTGATAAACCGGCTGCTTGGGACTTCCCTGTCGTTCGTTATCCAAGTGTGATCTCCAACATCCCTTCCCATCAACCGGCTGGTGTGTTCACTAGACAATTGACCAGATTGCAACAAATGAGTACCACTGCTGAAATTTCTACTGCTGCAGTTTTCACTGCCGCAGTTTCTACTGCTGCAGTTTTCAGTATAGCAGTTTCCATAGCTGGAATTCCCGCTACTGTAGTTTTTACTGCTGCAGCTTCCTCTACCACTCCAGTGCAAAGAACAGCATAGTCTCTCCGACACTCATGTCAGTTTCCTCTTCTGTTCGAGATCTTGCCCAATCCACCCCTCTTTCTGTGCTTGGCCACAAAAGGCTGTGTTCCTCCTCATTACCACCATCTCCTCCACTGTCTCGCTTGCGAACAAACTCTCTGGTTCCCATTGTTCCCATTGTTCCCATTGTTCCCATTGTTCACATTGTTCCATCTTCGTTGCCAGAGGCATGTTCATCTTCAGTTTGCAACACCACTACTCCTCTTATTGTGTATCATCGACAGCGTGTGCCGGATCACCGCTTGTCTGGGGATCAGCAGGTTGTTTCTTTGTCTTCCCCAATTCTCTCTTTGGGCCTGCTCCACAGGTTATTGCAATTTCTTTGTGCCAAACGGCAATATCCGCTCCTATGCCTCCTGCAGACAGTCCACTGCCTGTAGGTTGTGCAGGTTGAGGTATAGGCAGGCCCTACCCTGGCGGCCAGTGCTTTAATCACACTCCCACCACACACCCAGGGCAGAGCGGGGGCATTCCAAGCTGCGAGACTCCCAATGGTACCCAGTCGCTCAGTGACCCCCCTCTCCCAACTGTGCATGTCGTAAGCATAGCCAGCAGGATGCTCTACGCACGGGACCCCCCATACAACATCCACACAGCCTTGCGACCATCCCCCCATGGGGTACCCGGCCAGGTATGTGAAAAGTGCTGGACTCCAATATTGCGGATTCCTAGCGCGGGATTTTTTATTGAAAGCCACTGCCAACACACTCGACCGAGCCAACCAGGACTCGATCTCGCTGCCTGTGTCTTGAATCACAGGCGCCCGGCCAACTGGGCTACCGCCATTTACCATGGGATCATGTTTCATGCCCTTCAACATTAGATATTCATGAGTCACCTGTACAACAGAATGCGGTTCCCGCCCAGGGTTCACTCACAATTCCAAGGACAATCCCTACTCTAGACGCAGCCCCAAACGTCAAGGGATTGGAACATGATTTGCCTGGATTGCAGTTAACCCCACAAGCGTAGACAACATGGGGGATATGCAAACCACTGACCAGCTTCATTTGGATGAACCGCAAATTTGTGTCCCGCCACGCACAAACCACATGGGTGATTTGTAAATGAGTGACCA